GCCCAATGTCCATCTGCTACCTTAATACTAAACCTATAAATATAACGTATATACTCATGTATAAGCCGAGTTTTTCAGCACATTTTAATGCAGAGAAAGCCTCTCTTGGCTTATACTGGAGTGAGGGTCCCACTTAACTGTTTTCCGGTGCAGTGCGGTTGTTCTCTGGTCTCCTGCTCATCTGCGGGCACCTGCAGCCTGTGTGGGTGGTCCGATGACTGCTGACATCACAGCTCTTCTTTTCTCCTGCACGCCAGCAGCCTCTGTTGTCTGTGCTGTACTGGGCAAGAACCTGCCCACTTCTGTGTGCTGGTACCAGGGGCGCACCACATCCTGGTCATATGAATATCGGATGTGGCTGCTCTTCTTCTCCCGCTCTTCTCCAAGGCTGTGACCAATGACATAGTCTTTACAGTTTTACCGTGCTTGGTCATGGCCTCTTGCTCTGCCCAGACATTGCTGAATACAAATACCGGTATATCTCTGGTCTTGGATATATAGTATGTTTATTTACAGTACTTAGTCTGCTATATATATTTTTTTATTTTCCTATTAACCCCTATCTGGACCCAGTGTTGACTATGGTTGCATAAAGCAGCCTGTGTTAGGGCTCATAATATACATGCTGCATTATGTACACACTGTTACTGCATGTGTTGTGTTAGTACTTCCCATGCATATATGTCAAGATATTTCAGAATCTGTTCTCTCCCCTATGGCCTCCTATAACCCTCACAGAAAGATTTACAAAGTAGTAGAAATGAAAGTGTATTTCCAAGTACTTTTGGAACTGGATACAATTTTTTGTATGGTTCCTTCTAATTTTTTTAAATTTAAAAATAATTGCTCTGTAGATTTTAGTATAGATTATATATATGTATATATTAATATATTTACCACACTAACAATATATAGTTTGTAAGGGCTATTACTGTGTCTATTTTTTTTATTAGCATGTAATTCATATGTTATGCAATTCAGTAGTTCAGTCACATCAAGATGAGTTATGCAACCATAACCACAATTTTAGAACATTTTCTTCTTTCTTGAATTCATTATTGTTAGAACCCCATTTTTCCTCAACCTCCCCTGTCATGTCCTAAGTAATTATTAATAGCAACTAAATTCAATATTTTGGGGTGGTTATAATAAACCCTTATGTCCCAACTTTCCTCTAGTTCCTAAATGCTTCCTCCCACCCCCACCACAACCCTATCATGATCCCAATTCTACCTTACAAATCTGGCTAGACCAGAGGATGTACACTGGTACAGATAGGAACTGGAAACACAGGGAATCCAGGACAGATGATCCCTTCAGGACCAGTGGTGAGAGTGGCCATACCGGGAGGGTGGAGGGAAGGTGGGGTAGAAAGAGGAACTGGTTACAGGGATCTACATATAACCTCCTCCCTGGGGGACGGACAACAGAAAAGTGGGTGAAGGGAGATGTCAGACAGTGTAAGCTATGACAAAATGATAATTTATAAATTATCAAGGGTTCATTAGAGGAGCGGGGAGGGAAGGGGAAAATGAGCTCATACCAAGGGCTCAAGCAGAAAGCAATGTTTTAAAAATGATGAGGGCAACAAAAGTCCAAATGTTCTTGACACAATGGACGCATGTATGGATTGTGATGAGTTATATGAGCCCCCAATAAAATGATTTTAAAAATATATATAAGCCCTTATGTCCAACTCAAGTTTTTTTTATATTTAAAGTTAATCATTAATTTTGGTTTCATTGGTCACAACAGTAATTTCATATCAATTCCCTCCAGGATGAATTGGTGTCCAAGTCAAGAACTCGCTATTATGTAAATTCTCTACAACACAGAGTGAAAAACCGAATCTGGCAGACTCTGCTTGTACTTTTCCCTAGATTTGATCAGGTATGATGCTTACTAAAGTATAATGTTTCCATATGAATATGTATTTTGTAGAAATTGTCATATGCTCTTTTAAAATTGATGGAGTGTTTCCCTTAAAATTTATTAATTTCTATTTGTACCAACTTCAGTACTTAAAATGAACTCATTTGGAAATTATTTTACTGGAAAGAATACTAAATTTAAAAATTAGGCATTATAGAAATAAATTGGAAACTGCATAACTAGCTAAACGTATTAGTTTTTCCCCTTTATGTTTTAATGTAATATTAACTGTTCAAAGTATCATGAAATTAAAAATGTAAATATATGACTCTTAGTTATCCATGGCTAAGTTATTTTGGAATGTTAGTGTTTTGGATTACTTGTGTGTTCCAGAAATCGTACAATTGTAATGTTTGGGTTATTTTCCATACTCAGTTTTTTGCCTTTATATCCATCACTTGTATGTTAGTAAAAACCAGCTAAAGAAAGGTCAAACTTTTTTTTATAGCAGGTGCTCTTTAGCCATAACTCATTCTTTTCTAGCATGGGAAGGCAAGGAACAATTGAGTGAACATCGGTGTAACTTCCCCAACTATCTTTATGGGATATTCTGTTAAGAAGAGAAAATATCATATTTTTAAAAAGTGATAGTAGATGAAGCATATGTTTTTTAAGGTTTTTTTTTTTTTAGTCTTTGCCATATTGTTGTTGTGAAGTGCCAACTCATAACAACTCTATATACAAAAGAATAAAACACCGCTTGATCCTGTGCCATTTCCACACTTTTGGTTATGCTTGAGAGCCACCATTTCAATCCATCTAGTTGATGGTCTTCCTACTTTTTTTTGCCCTCTGCCAAGCATGATGGCCTTTTCCAGGGATTCCCTTGGTAATGTATCTAAAGCACATGAGACAAAGTCATGCCAATGTCCCTACTTAGGAACAGATTTATGTGCTCTTCTGACAGTCCTTCCAAAAACCAAACCAAGCTCATTGCCACTGAGTCAGTTGCAGCTCAGAGTGACCCTGTACAGGATTCTAAGACAGCCTCATTTTTCTCAAGTGGTGCAACTAGTGGATTTTGAGCCATTTACCTTGTACTTAGCAGTCTAATACTCACCCGGCAGAAATTCTCCTCTGGACTTTCTTATTCATTGTTCAGATTTCACATGTATCTGAGTGATTGAAAATACGATGGCACACCTTAGTCTTCAAAAAGACATCTTTTCTCTTTAACACTTTAAAGGGATCTTGTTCATCATATTTGCCCTTTGTATTGCGTCATTTGGTTTCTTGACTGTGTTTCCATGAACATTGATTGTGGATCCAAATAAAATTAAATCCTTGACAAGGTAAATATTTTCTCCATTTATCAATGATGTCTATTAGTCTAGTTGTGAGTTGTAAAGATTTTTGGTTTTGATTTTTTTGTAGAGTTCTAAGTTGGGGGTTTGCTTTGTTCTTTTTTTTTTTTTCAATTGTTCTAGTACTTTAATCATAGATAGTCATCTTATGTAAAATGTAACAGTTTAAACCTTTCCAGAGCAAAGAAAAATGTTGTTGATTATCATTTGAACCTTTTGGCATCTTAAACACTACAGTACATGTTTTGAAAAAATAACAGTTCAAGTGTAGTACACAGGACCACTTTATACTGTTTTTACAACTTTCTATGGCTATAGTTATTACTAAATAAAAAGTACTTTTTAAGCAAAACATTTTTCATTTATGTGAAACTTCTGATTTATAAACTTAACAACTTAGAGAAATCATAAACATAAAATGGTGACTTGTCCTACAGGATATTTTTCTTCATTGATTTTAATCCATCTGCTCATTTCATGTTCCACAAATACCTGATCATTTACTATGTAATCAGTATCTACTGGCAGCACTAGCTGTTCCTAAGATAAGAACAACTCATACTACCTCTTATAACTGCCACTACAGTGGATATTGCCCTTTTAAAGCAAAGAGCAAATTCTCAAACTCATTTCCATGTCCTTCCCACTCCCGTTGTCTCCATTTCAGTCAAGTACAATAGTCACTGCCCTAGAGTCGATGCCAACCCACAGCAACCCCCTGTGGGTTTCCGAACATGTTTTCAGGAGCAGAAAACCCCAGTCCCTTTCCTGAGGAGCCGCTGGTGGTTTCCAACCACGGGCCATGCAGATCACAGCCCAATGCACAACCACTATACCACAAGAGGTGTCAGTACAATACAGCTTCAAAAAGTCCATGGAAAATCCGGTGCCCTCTCAATTCCATTTTTCTACATTCTTTTCAAACTGAAGGACCCATAGTGATGTACACATTGGACTGCTACCCACAAGGACAGCAGTTCAAGCCCTCCAGCCACTTTCTGGGAGAAAGATGAGACTGTCCCCTCCTGCAAAGATATGCAGCCTCTGAAACCTAATGGGGCAGTTTTACTCTGCCCTCGAGGCTCGCACTATGTCAGAATCAACTCCACTGCAGAGAGTGGGTTTTCTAACCCAAGACAAATAGCTACTTTAGCTGTGACAAAAATGTCCTCCTGTCCAGAATAGTTCACACAGTCAATCCAGAATATAGCTGGAACGGAACTATTTACAATGTTGACAATGCTGAAAATTTATTCAGCTACGAGTTCAATAGAGTTTTTAAGGATTACCTAATTATTTAACATTTCCTTTTAAGAAAACGACCCAAAAAAACAACTTAAAAATGAATTTTTAAAATAAAAATTGGAGATTGCCAATAGTTTCCAAACTACCCACTTAAAGCATGCAAGTTTTGTTTAGGAAAGGAGATACTGTAAATTAAAAAAAAAAAGTAGCCACTGATGTCGAATGAAATGATCCAGTTTATATATGTTTTCTCTGTTAGTAATCAAGAGTTTGTACTGTATACTTATTGTCTGATAAAAACTGACCCTACCGGGTTTGAAATCCAAGTGAGACTCCTGATAACTTCTTCTCATTTAACAATAAGTAAATAAAATTACTTCCCATAACTTCAAATGTAACCAGAAAGGCAGGAGAAAATGGTAACCTCTGCACACATGGGGTCAAGGCCACTAGCAACAAAAACAGCTTGCAAAAAAAGTGTTGGATATTCTCTTAAAGGAGCCTGGTGTTGAAGTGGGCTATGAATTGAGTTGCTAACCACAAGGTCAGCAGGTTCAAACCCATCAGTGGCTCCACTGGAGAAAGATAAGACTGTTTACTCTTGTAAAGATGTAAAGTCTAGGAAACATGAAGGAGCAGTCCTACTCTGTCGTATATGGTGAATCTGAGTCAGAATCGGCTCAGTGGAGGGAGTTTGCGAGTTTGGAATGTTGCCTTGATGGTAGGTCTTTCAGAAATGCAGGAACATGATGTATGGGTTTTTTTTGCAAGGACACAATAAATGCTTTTCCTGGGAAGGATACAACAATCGTATCAACTGCTCAGGGTAAAGCTTAGCTCCAGGAGATGTTAAGTCTGGACACATGATATTTGCTCAACTGAGTACAAATTTGATGGCTCCTTTATTAAATTGCTGATGTGCTAATATAAAGGGATATTTGTGAAGGGTTTGATAAAGAGGCCCTTCTCTCTGCCTAAAATTTAGTAACTTCATTTACTGTAAGGATTTCTATATGTTCATGGCATCTTACTATTTTCACTGCATCTTTCTTAGGCATGATTTGATTAAGCCATGGTTCAATACCTGGGAATTGCTCTATCAATTAGTTCTTAATACCCTGAATGACTGAGGTTTTCAACTAGATACAGATGGCCATATTCTGTTTTTCATTAAATCTCTTGAAGATGATCCAAAGTGAAGGGGGAGATGGTAGGGAAGGGCGTGAATTGGGAAAGAAATTGAATTAAAAAGAAGGATCTGGCAGATACCCGTACATGAGGAAGGCCGCCAGTGACACTGAGAGAAGTTCTCACCAACCAGGAATTCGAGTCATGGGGATTTTCTACATATGAAATTGGATTATCTCAAAATAGAGTTTCACTTTTTTGCCAATCTGAAGTCCTTTGATTTCTTTTGTTGTCTAATAGCTTTAGCTAAGACTCTTGCTGATACTCTTCCAAAATATAAAAGATTATGTCCTAAACTCAGTCTATAAGGCCAACTTGAATATCAAAGCCAGATAAAGCTATAATTCAACATACTTTATGAATGTTGATGTAAAAATCCTGAACAAAATACTGGCAAATCAAATATAACAGCAAACTAAATGTATTAATTTTGTGGGGAATTTATGCCAGAATTGCAAGGGCCTCTGAACATTAAAAAACCAATCGTCATAAACACTGCATTAATAGAACAAAGGAGACAAGTATGTGATCATCTCAGTTAGTGTAGAAGTCGCAACCACACGTCCTTTCATGCTAAAAAAACAACAGCAAATATCAATAAACTGGTACGAAAGGGAAATTTCTCAACATCCTAAAGCAGGGGTCCTCAAACGTTTTAAACGGGGCCAGTTCACTGTCCCTCAGACCGTTGGAGGGCCGGACTATAGTTGAAAAAAAAACTGTGAACAAATTCCTATGCACACTGGTCGAGTCGGCTGCTAAGCAGGACAGGTAGTGGCAGCAAAAACACTGGCCAGGCCGGATAAATGTCCTCGGCGGACCGCATGTGGCCCGCAGGCTGTAGTTTGAGGACCACTGTCCTAAAGGGTTGCGGTTGTATAATACTATGACTGTAATTAATGGTAATGAATTGTATACTTAAAAACTGTTAAAATGGTAAATTTTCTGTTGTATTTATTTTTCCATAAGAAATTTAATAAGTCACTTGTTTTTTAAAAAACCGCACTTTTGATATTTATATAACAAAAGTTTAATTTCTGAACTCTATTTCCTTCAGAATTTCTTGAATGGGATTATTGACAAGATTTTCCAGGCTGGCTTCATCAATAATCAAGCATCTATAAAATATTCTATAGAATGGCTTATTATATTGGCTCTTCATAAATTCCCTCAATTTCTTCCAAAGTTCTGGGATTGTTTTTCTTATGTAAGTAAAAGAGGTAAAGGGTACATGTATAATTATTATTTGTATATTTTTAATTTTAAAAAGATTTTGCCTGCTGGAAGATTTACCTAGTTTTTACTATCTGTTGTCTAGCATCATTCCATTTTACCTCTGAATTAATTAATGGATATGAGGAAAGAAGTCTCTGGATTATTTTTAGTGTACCAGAATTTCCACTTGAGAACTGGTTGATTCTGAAGAAGATGGGAAGGTGTTTGGTTATTTATTAAACAGTAAGGGGAATGAGTTCTCTCTGTATTTTTTATCCACCGTGCTGGTAGCATAGTTGGTTACCTGTCAGGCTACTAACCACAAGGTCAGCATTTCAAACCCACCAGCTGCTCTGCAGGAGAAGATAAGGTTGAGAAAGTATCTGGAATTTTCTGCACCCCACAAGATTCATAAGGGGTGGGATAATTCTCTAAACTTGGAAGAGGGATTCAGGATAGATATTCAAAAAAGGGCACACGTGCACTGTACTCTTTCTATATTTGCAACTATGAACTTACCTTTATTTTTCAGAGAAATGAGTCATACAAAGCAAAACTTGCCTATAACAACCATGCAGATCCACCAGACTTTATTCAGGCTAGACTGCTCTTATATATACTAGAGAGGACTGACCTGAATTTTCTCTTCTAAAAATAGTTGTTCTGCTGTTCCTTGTTTCTTCAGGTCTTTAGAGGAATTTGCTTCCAATCTTCTGTATTCACCTCACTATCTCCTTCTTAAACAAATGTTTTCCATTTGCTTTTAAATATGCTCAAAGTCTCACCTATTTTTTGTGTGTAGATCCTTACCCAGATCATCTCATCAATCTTTTAACCACCATATCTCTCTACTACTTCATAACTAGATTTCCTTGAAGAATGTCTTCAAGACATTCCAGTTTTTACATGATTCCATTTTTTACATCCTCCCAATTTGCTCTTTCCATCTGTATGGCTAATATGGGTCCATGCCCTGGAATAGCAGAGTTAATTCACTAACTCCAAGATAGGGAGAGAAAGAACTTTTATTTTAGAAATGTTTAGCAGCAGGGAGAACTATAGCAATGCAGGCTGTCTTAAACAGTGTTTAGTTTGAAATCAGGAAAAAAATATTGAGAATATATATTTTTTACTTTGGAATTAGCACCCTAGGGGAGTTATGTACAGATGTTTTACATTAATTCAGGTAAGTCTTAGACTAGTCTCAGAAGGTCTTTGTTGACAGATAGTAGGAATTAGGCATTTGGTATCCAGCAGTAAACAAGATTCTCAGCATTACCTTACTCTTCCAGGTGACAGCTACTTCCAATCTGTTTGCCTCCTAACAATGTAGCAAGTTATAAAAATTCCATAGAGACAGCATTAAGTCAAGTAACTTAGGCTAACAATATCAAGTAAAATAACTGGCTATACATCCATTACAGACCTCACAGAGCTCACATTCAATACATGTTTGCTAAATAAAGCACCAAAGCACATATCTTCCTCCTGCAGTTTCTAAACTGCCCTTTATTCCTGTTGTGTCCTTTTCAGTCTTTTTGGTGTCTTGTCACCTTATTACTGGTGATCGCTAAATTACAAAATAATTCTAGTTAAGCCTTTCTTGAAGTCAAATTTGCATGTAAATTGCAACAGTAAGGTACTGTTCTACCTAAAACGGTGGATCTCAACCTTCCTCGTGTCACAACCCTTAATACAGTTCCTCATGTTGTGGTGACTCCCAACCATAAAATTCTTTGCATTACTACTTCATAACTAATTTTGCTACTGTTAGGAATCAGATGACCCCTGTGACAGGGTTGTTAAACCCCCAAAGGGTTGTGACCCACAGGTTGAGAATCGCTGACCTAAAGTGAGTCAAATGTCTTAGTATATTGTGTAAACTGTACCTTTCAGTGTATAGAAAGCATTAAAGAAATACATACTTCCAGATATACTAAGACACTGTTAAACATAATAAGTACTGTACAAGCCGAGTTTTTGAGCACATTTTTAATGCAGTTTTTGTGGTAAAATTAGGTGCCTTGGGTGATATTCAGGTTGGCTTATACTTGAGGAAATACGGTAATAATAACATCAATACTGTTTCAGTGTTCATCTGAAAGTCACGCCAATGTATTATGAACCACTGTATGTACGCACCTCAAATTTTTGTTATAATCTTTCGGGGGTGTTTGCGAGTAAGGGAGTTATATGAGGGGGTATCCAAAAATATCCGATGCTCATTTGTTTTTTTAATGTGAGGGGAATAGTGCATTTGGAATTCATTCCACCAGGTCAGACTGTTAATCAAGATTTCTATTTAGCGGTTCTGAAAAGGTTACATAACAGCGTGCAACAAAAAAGGCCTGATTTAATTGGGAGGGGACTGGTTTTGCCACTACGACAATGCTCCTTCTCACGCAGCCATCTCAGTGCGCCAGTTTGGAACAAAATAACAGCAATGCTTCTCTTGCCCCACACACCTTATTTACGCAGCCATCTCAGTGCACCAGTTTGGAACAAAATAACAGCAATGCTTCTCTTGCTCCACACACCTTATTTACCTGACCTCACTCCGTATGACTCCTTTTTGTTTCCACGAATGAAGAGCGATATGAAAGGACAGTGATATCATGACATAGAAGAGGTGAAAAAAAAACCAAGGGAGGTGCTGTCAACCATGCAAACAGATTTGAAAAATTTTTTCAAAGAGTTGAATTGCAAATTTGACAAATGTATTAGGTGTAATGGAGAGTATTTTCAAGATGATAACGTTGTTTTGTAAAAAGTTTAAATACATAGCTTTGAAAAATAAATTCTGGTTTTTCACCCAGAGATTTTTTTTTACCCAGCAATTGCCTATATTACAAAAATAATGTGCTTTCTCAGTCAATATCATTGAGAAGTTTTCTAAATTCCAATTGAAAACTTTTATAATCTTAAAATGAATTTTTAAAGTCTTCTCCAATATAATCCATTCAGCCTGTGAGTCCTATCTCTTATCCCCCTGCCAACCTGGTCTCATTTACTTCTGTATCTTTGTTTCCTTTATTTCACCCTCTCATCTCAATCCTCCCCTATGCCCTCTCCTTGAGACCAAGCTCCCCATGCCTGTCATTCCACCAACCCTCACTTTACAGTTAGAGAATTGTGTACTGATTGTGTTGCATTGACATTTGACTTTAAGAGGTTACTTTTTTTTTAAATCATTTTATTAGGGGCTTATACAACTCTTATCACAATTCATACATACATCAATTGTGTAAAGCACATTTGTACATTCATTGCCCCTCATCCTTCTCACAATATTTGCTCTCCACCTAAGCCCCTGGCATCAGTTCCTCATTTTTCCCCTCCCTCTCCGGATCCCCTGTCCCTCATGAACCCTTGATAATTTACAAATTATTGTTTTGTCATATCTTGCACTGTCCGATGTCTCCCTTCACCCACTTTTCTGTTGTCCATCCCCCAAGGAGGAGGTCACATGTAGATCCTTGTAATCGGTTCCCCCTTTCCATCTTACCCTCCCAGTATCGCCACTCACACCACTGGTCCTGAAGGGATCATCCACCCTGCATTCCCTGTGTTTCCAGTTCCTATCTGTACCAGTGTACATCCTCTGGTCTAGCCAGATTTGTAAGGTAGAATTGGGATCATGATAGTGGGGGAGGAGGAAGCATTTAGGAACTAGAGGAAAGTTGTATGTTTCATCATTGCTACATTGCACCATGACTGGCTCATCTCCTCCCCGAGACCCTTCTGTAAGGGGATGGCCAGAGGCCTACAAATGGGCTTTGGGTCTCCACTCCACACTCCCCGCCCTCATTCACAATGATACGATTTTTTTGTTCTGATGATGTCTGTTATCTGATCCCTTCGACACCTCGTGATCACACAGGCTGATGTGCTTCTTCCATGAGGGCTTTGTTCCTTCTGAGCTAGATGGTCGCTTGTTTACCTTCAAGCCTTTAATACTCCAGACGCTATATCTTTTGCTAGCCGGGCGCCATCAGCTTTCTTGACCACTTTCGCTTATTCACCTGCTTTGTCTTCTGCAGTTGTGTCGGGAAGGTGAGCATCATAGAATGCCAATTTAATAGAAGGAAGTATTCTTGCATTGAGGGAGTACGTGAGTGGAGGCCCAATGTCCTTCTGCTACCTTAGTACTAAACCTATAAATATATGCACATAGATCTATTTCCCCATCCTCATATATAAATATATTTGCATATGTACATGCCTTTATTTAGACCTCTATAAATGCCCTTTGAGGAGGTTACTTTTTTTAACCCTCTACCCTAAACTGGGGCGTAAGCTACTTGAGTGAAAAAACCGTCTTCCCTTCTGTATCCAGTAAAGAGCCTCACAGATGTTTATAATAAGCTTAAGATGGTTAATTATTCATCTGGACTTACTTGGTTACTTGTTTTTTGTTTTATAGAGTGAAGAAAAATTTAAAACGAGCATTTGTACATTTTTATCAGTTTTGTCACACTTGGACATCATTATGCAAAATATTCCAGATAAGGTAAGCGTAGATTGAATTTAAACTTGATTTTCAGAAATTGTATTTTATCTGTTTATATTAATAATTTTAAATTTGGAGAATTCTAAATATTTTTGCAGTCTTCACCTTAATGTGCACATATACTTAGAAGCAAATAGTAAGGAATATGTATTGGCATGCACACACAAATACTGAATTATGTGAGTATACACAATTTATAAACAAATTTAGTGAGCATTTTTAAGGATACAGATACGTTTTCAGTTTTACAAAAGTGTTTACTTAGAATTCTTCACAAAAGACTCTCTTGTTTATATATAAGTAGCCCTGACAGTGTGTAGTGGGCTACACATTTGGCTGCTAACTAAAGGGCCAGGAGTTTGACCCCTCCTTTAAATATGTGCAGGCTCAGAAACCCCCCGGGTGCAGTCCCAGTCTGTTCTCCAGAGTTGCAGTGAGTCGGAGTCAGCTCCATGGCAGTGAATGAGTTTGTTCCTTGACTAACTCGTAGATATTTTAATAAAGTTTAGGTCAGCATATTAAAAGCTGTTGGGTAATTGAACCAAACACCAAACCCATTCTCATCTAGGGTTTTTGAGACTAAATCATTAAAGGAACAAACAGCTTTATCTTTCTTCCATGGAGTAACGACTAGTGGATTTGAACCACTGACCTTGTAGTTAACATTCAGTCCTTATCCCACAGTTTCACTAGAACTAATAGAAAATAGCTGCCATCATTTGAAGTGTGAACCCCAGATGTTTTATCTTTTTTAGGTTTAAAGCAATTTCCTTAATGGTTTACCACATAGATAGGCAGAAATCATAACTAAAATTTGGTTAGGTACAATAACAACTGTAAAGAATATAGGAGAACCTGCTAGTAAGATTTAGAGGAAAATTCTGTATTCAGTATACAGAGAAGAATGCACTGATACGCTGTAGACTGCAGAGAAAATACATTATTAAACAAATAAGTGTTAAGTGTTTATAGTAACTCATAGGAAGGAAAGATTTCATAGAATTTTTCAGTGTTCTTTAAACAGTGATAAGTCAAATTTAATTGTTAATCTTTTTTGTCAATTCTAAGTCAGACTTCCCCTCCTCTATATTATAATCTCTAAAAGCATAGTTCATCTTAAAGGTAATGGTATTTACAATGTCTGCCAACCACATTGCAGTTATGTCCTAGCTTTGTGAGTAGTTCTGGTGACATGTTAGGGGAAGATCCAGCATCTACATGTCTTAGCTTCAATAAAGTATGACAAACTATTGTTAGTCTTTTATTAAATCTTTTCTATTTTAAATATATACAAGAGAAAATTTTACTACCATCTATTGAGAGAAATAAAATAAACTAATATTTTCAATTAAATAGCTCAAAAGTAGTTTAGACAAGTTATGAAAATGAATTCATTTTAGATCTGGTATAAAAAAACGTGTTCTTTTACAATTAAGCCTTTTTTTATATGTTCTGAATTACATATTTTATTTTTATTTTTTTCTTGTCTAAGCATCTTATCCCCACTCCAAAAATGCTTATATGTGCAATGGGATCATCACATTTTGGACATCTGAAAAATGTATAAATTCAGATACCTAAGAACAAATTTGTTTTGGAAATCATTCTATTTCGGTTTTTTGACCATCATTTTTTGGTTTTGTTTTTTAAGTCTTACTGAGATATAATTCATGTCATACAATTAATAGTTCAATCATAGTAGATACTTATACAATCATCCCAATTTTAGAACATTTCATCTTATATTCATTGGAAAACCTCAATAAAAAAGAGCAGAAAATATTAAAAACTAGAACAAAATTAAATGGGTCAAAACTACATCTGCCCTAATCAACATTACAGTGTTCTCTGTCTGATAGTAAGGCTATTCACATTTCTCAACTATGGTCAGAGGGGATTCACTGGATACCTACTCCAGGTGGGACCCTACAAATGGATTTTGGGCTTCCGCTGTCCATTGTTTGCCCTTTGCAATCCAGGTATACACAGTTTAATCCCTGATACCATTCCCTCTTTTGGATTTGGATGTTTTAATTTGAAGTCTTTGGATCACATAGGTTTGTGTGCTTTTTCCATGTGGACTTGACACCTCCCTTAGATGACTCCTTGTTTTGAGACAAGCCATTAAGACCCTGGATACTATTAATTCCAGTAGCCAGATACTATCTGGTTTCTTTACCACACATTGCTATAGCACCGTCAGTGATCTCTCCATGAGGTCCAGCATTAAGCAGGGCCATGTCATAAGAACTGAAGGCCCAAATCCATTCATATAGCTGTCATTTATATATGTCTCTGTTTAATTTTAGAGACATCATTATCATTTTATGATGTAGAACATTATCAGTTATCCCCCCCCAACCCCCGGGGCATAAGGAAATTCTATTGATAGTGTCATTAATTTAGCAAATGGTATAGAATTTACAACACTGTGAGAAAAGGAAATTATACAAGTATAGGTTGGCTGAAAACCACAGTATATTAATTATTGACTTACACAAATTAAATGCAAGTGACTGGCACAAACAATGGGGGTTGGTGATAGGGCAAAACTTTTAGTAACATCCATTCACAAAGACAACCATGCCTACCAGAAGCTGTATATCATAATAAAGAAAGGAGAGCATTAAAATATTAGATATATGGTCATCCCAGGCCACTTTTCATTGGGCTCCCTCAAAGCAAAAGATGTCAGCCAAATTCTAACGACCATCAATTCCATAACCTTTGGATAGCCTTCATCTGCTTCTCGTCTTAGGCCAGACATCCGTAAGTCCCGGGTCCACTAGTGAGTTAGAAGTGAAGTCCAGTTCACTTAGCGGAGTTTCCACACTGAGTTCTTATGGGGTAGACTATAAAGGGTATTGTGCACCTCTAAAGGGCAGAATCTAAAGTCCCATTAGTCTATATCTCAGAAGCTAGGTCACCAAGGGATAGATAGAAACTAGGTCAAAAGTGTCCTACTGCTACTTAGGTTGCATACCTTTGCTTGCATACTTCTTGAAATAATCATTTAATACTTTTCTGTTTCATCTAAGTGTGTTACTTAGCCTGTGTGTGCAATATGTACTAAGTAATGTGAAAATGATTAAAAACTATTGACAAACAGGACAGAGGTCAAAGCTCTAATGCCCTATAGAAGCTAAAAAGGGGGAAAGAAAGCCCTTTCTCAGCAATATTCAAAGTCTTTTTCAGACGACTATAAATCTTGTATAATGTATAAAGCATTTGTATCATTCAGGAACAAAACCTTTTTAGACAGATGTAAGCAGAAGGATTGTTTAAGCCCCCGAAGTGCTCTGTCTTGACCTTCCTTAGCCAGCTATTTGAGGTAGGATTCATGGGGGGCTTTCTATGCTATATTGAGAATCATATTTATTCATTTATTCACGTATTAACTTAAAAATAATGTACATCAAGCTCTTTGATTTTGGTTTCCAATAATAACTCCAATAAAAGTAGCCAGGTCTCCTTAGAGAAGTAGTTGTTTCTGTGACTGAGACAGGAGATGTAAAAGATGAACCTGGATGGAGCATCTTGTGTCAGAAAAATAAAGAAGTACTAAATACAAATTTTTGGTTTTAGACAGAGATATGTCAAAGGACAGAGCCAACTGAAAGCCTCAAAGCTGGAACAATTTGTGCAAAAAAAAAAATAAATTAAAAATAGTCCATTCTAAAGACAGGTGGTCAAACTCAATATGAAAATTATCTAACAATGGCATTAATATCACATGCTAGCAAAATTTTGCTGAAGATATTAAAACAACTGCAGCCATAAATTGAATGGGAACTACCAAAAGGCAAAGCTTGATTCAGAAGAGGATATCATTGCTGATGTTAAATGGACCCTGGCCCCAAACAAAATAGCAGAAAGATGTTTACTTGTGCTGTATTGGCATTCAAATGTGTGCATCATAATACTCTATGGATAAGTATGCGTAGAATGGGGATTCTAGAAGCTTTAACCTTTGCTCGCGTGGAACATGGACGTGAATCAAAAGGCAGTTCAATGGGGATACTTTGTGATTCAGAAATGGGGAAGATGTCCAGCAGGATTTTATCCTTTCATTTCAATCTATATCTGAAATATAATCTGAGAAGCTGAGCTTTCTGATGAACACAGAAAGACTGAAAAATAGCACTGTGCAAATGACAGAATTTTGTTTGCTGAAAATCAAGAATACTTCAAGCACATTTTGTTGAAAATCAAAGACTGAAATACGGATTTTAATTTAATGTGAAGAAACACAAGTAGAAACTAGTTGATAAGCTGTGATAAGCTGAAATTGAGGTCAATTATTTCATTATACATGGATAAAAAATATTTTCCAGAGAAGCAAGAGTAAGAAGCTCAAATCTGCAGCCTCTTAAACGCTTTAAAAATATTTTACTTTGATGAAAACAATTTGTTGAACCTAGGCCATGGGCTTTTCGGTCATCTCATAAACATGTAGGATCTGAACAGTGAAAAATAAAGACAGAAGAAGAAATGTTGCATTTGAATTATGATATTGGTGAATAAAATTGAATGGCTCACCAGAAGAATGAGCAAATCAGTCAGAAAAAAATGCAACCAAGATGTTCATAAAAGGGTGAGTGAGATGTATGTTGGTTTACTTACTATGGATACTTTGATAATTGGGTTTGTGTCGGCTTGGCTGGGCCAGGATTCGTAAATAGTTTGGCAGTTGAGACCTCCAAGATGAGATCTAACTTGATATAATCAACTGCGTGATGAGATCTGCTGAGAGTCATTTAGGGTGCAATGTAACTCCTTACTCTGGTCACAGCCCTAATAATGTTTCCTTGGGGGAAACTTCAGAAATAAGTATACACTGTGGAGTGCTTCTTTGCTTCTTCCTTGCCTGGATCCTGAACCTGACTCATTGACCTCTGGTTCTTTGGACTTGATCCAGTGGCCTGCCATATTGCCTGTTGACAGTAGCATCCATCAAAGTTTGCCACCTGACCTGCCAACCTTGGAGTCATTTGTCTCTTCATCTACCAAGTGTGGTTTCTGTGCTTTGTCTTCATTCTGGGTTCATCTTCCTGCTTCCTTGTTCATCAGCCCTGGAAACTACATGTGTCATCTTATTATCTGACCTGCAGAATTTAACTAGACTGGATTTACTTCTACAACAGTGTGAGCCACTTTATTGATAGACATTTCTTTTGGTTTTGCTTTTCTAGAGAATCCAGCCTTGTACATTTGGTACCAAGAGTGGTTCTGTAAACATCATGAGGAATTTTCTAAATTCATTCTCAGATTTCATTAGTTCTCAAGAAATGGCTAACCCTGCCTCCATTAATTCTGCCTCTGTTAGTATGAATGATTCTGCCATGCTAATCCATGACCTGAGGTGGAAATGTTAGTACCCAAATGTCACCACCCAGGGGAAATGTGGTGAGAACTGAGGCTCTGGGTGATCCTGTGTTTGATATTTTTCCACAATTTCATCAGGATGAGAAGTATAGAGAAGCTGGTTGGTTGATCGTAGTGGTAAAGGTCAAGGCTTTGGGGGCACAATGCAAGCACTACCTAAAAGACCTTAGTTTCCATCTGTACCATGAGAGAAAGCCTTATTCCTTGCAGTAACAGAGCTGATACTGCCACACACACAAAAGAAGCAACCCAGAGCCTTATAAGAGTGGCTGAATTACAACACCAGCTGAATTCCCATCTTAGGATCATGTCTCGTGTGGCATTGGTTTTTTTTTTTGGGGGGTGGGTGGGGGGGGATTGGACTCTGGAACTTGGGATGTCATTTTATACATAGATAATCAAGAATATGGGGATATTAACCCCTCAGATTCCATTTAGTCACAGCACCACCCTTGCCATCTGAAGAGATTAATCTATTAAGCCCCACCCCCATCCCCACTTGAGGATATTTAGACCCATTGTAAATGCTGATGTGATACTTGGACTGTTTCAGGAGCACTGCCTGAGGCCCCAAGATGCCATACAAGATACTGCTGAGAGTTCCCAAGCAAAACCCTAATTTAGCATCCATTGTTACTTTTAGACCTATCACTAAACTGGTGTACTAAAAGTTGAACCAAAAAATGACCTAGGAAGGGGTGCCAGAGTTTTCTAATATGGACAAAAAAGCCTAGAGAATAGGTGTAGGAATAGCTCTTAAGGGTGTGGGAATATGATGCAAGAAACAAAGTTGGATCAATATGAATGTGTTGAAATAGATGTACTCAGCAAAGATTGATTCAGTGTTTCAGCTTAAGGGGTTAGGAGAGGATCTAATCATTTGGTTGGTTTATTGAAGCATGGATTGCACAATGGACTACAATAAGTCAAGATACTCGATAGAAGAAAATATCCAAAGGATTAGGGAAATTGGCGTGTTAGCGTAGATTTATTAGGAGACCCATACATAGTGTGTCCCAGGGAGAACAAGAACCAAACCAAACTCACTGCCATCTAGTTGATTCCAACTCATAGTAACCATATTGGACAAGGTAGAACTACTCCTGTGGGTTTTTGAGACAGAAGAGTGAAGAATAAATTTGTGAAGAGAGCCCCTGCACCTCTGAAAACTGCTTGTGATTGCTATATATCTGGCCTAACAATAGAAACTGCCCTAATTAATTTAAGCTACTTAATTACAATGGGGCTGATTGCGCTGTGTGGTGGTAGAGGACAAGTGGCAACATCCAATCAACAGCGACAAGGTGAGCATAGTTCAGAGTCAAAGTAAGCATCAGAATAGCCTAATTCATGTGGACTTAGGGCATTCCCTACTTAGGCAGGGTGTCCCTAGAAGTGAAGAGGGGGAAATTTTAATATTTGATCTGTACAAGCCGAAGAATCTAGGCCAGGTGACTGGCATTCTAACTCAAATCACCAGAATAGTCATGACCCATTCAGTTTGAGCCAGTTTACAGACCCTTAATTCCTTGAAGGAGATGCCCAGTCCATATGAGAAATGACTCCACTATATCACCAAAAAATGTTTGCTGTACATCAGTCTTCCCCTTCGACAACTCTGTGAGCCACTTGCTTGATACCAGTTTCTTTGTGTGTATGTATGTATACACATACATATAGAAAGTATCAATGCTTTTGTTGAAATCAAGTTGTTTTCAGCCCATAGTGACAATACTACACTGTAGAACTGTGGGTCTCTGAGCCCCTGTGGGTTTCCAAGACTATAATGCTTTATGAGAGTGTAAAGGCTCCTCTTTCTTCTAAGCAATGGTTGCTGGTTTTGAAGTGCTGACTTTGAAGTTAGCAGCCCAACACATACCCACAAGGCCAAAAGGTCAAAAAGTAAATGAATAGGCAAGAGGGGCAGGAAAATGTAAAGAATTCAAAATAATTTATGTAGATAACTTGCAGGTTAGAGAATCTTGCAGAAAGTAATTAGCTTATATTCGCAGTTCCTGCAAGCCAGACAACACATGAGGTAAATGAGTAGGTGGTAGTTTTTTACATGATGGTAGAGAAGTAATTGGAAGCCATGTTAAGGACTGAAAGAGATACAGACCCTCTCTGACTTGAGAATTGGGAGAGGAAAGGTTCATGAAAAAGGAAACCTAACCATTGTTAGGGGAGAGAAAAGCAGTGTCCGATGGGTCAGAAGAGAGGAAGGGTTTGCTCTTTGGGGTATAAGACTATATGAGCACATACAAATAGTTTATGTTTGGGTACTAAGCAGATACCATGAAGATCAGATACATAGTGAATTTAGTTGCCCAGAAATCTCTTGTTGCATTTAAGGTGATTTGGGAGAAATTGTTTTGATATTTTTGTCTCCTCTTTTTCTTATTTCTCTGCACCCCTCCCTCTACCCCAACCCTCCTAATATTTATCCCATGTCTTATATACCAGTTGAACTGAGAAATGAACAAAACCCTCCCTATACTCATATTCTAGCAGGAAAAAAGAGTTGATAAACACTGTACTATCCCACAGTGATAAAATACTTTAAAGAGAAATAAAGCAAAATGAGAATGTAGACTAAGACTGAGTACTTGGAGCATATAGGCTATTTTAGAATGTAGGCTCTGGCAAGGCTTTTCCAAGGAGATAACTCATGAACAAGGACCTGAAAAAGATAAGTACCCATGCCAGGTGAGGTCTGGGGAGGATTGTCCAGGCAGAGGGAACAGATGCATGAGCCCTAAGAGTGATGGGAACAGAATGAATGAGGGGGCAGAGCAAGGAAGGACAACACTGGGAACTAGCTCAATTAAGACTCCTGAATGGTGGCAAGCCAGATAAGATTTATAAAATGTGTGCATGGCACTTGGTGACATAATTAATGGTATGGGTAGTAGTACCTTATGTTTAATATTACATTATGTGCTTTATAAAACTGTCAAGGAACTAGACACTTTCCCTCATTTTTAATTTTTAAAATTATCCTCATGGTATTTTGGTTGGTTGTCTTTAACTTGCCTAGATTTTTACTTCTAGGATAGAATTAAATGCTTAATGTATCCTTCAGTATCCATGCATCACCTATGATTTTCTTTCTAGCCGTGTCAACTTGTTGGGTTTTGTTTGGATACTTCAGTTAATGTTTTATGTACTTCACTTAGTGTTTTTCTCAGAGATCTATCCAATATACACTTCATAATGGAATTATGGGAGAGGGTAGAATTGTCCCTGTGGGTTTCCAAGACTATACTTCTTATGGATGTAGAAACTGCTGACCTTGTGGTTAGCATTACAATGAGTAACCCACTAAGTTTCTTATTAAACTCTTTCCTTATTAAAAATGGTTCTCCCCTGCTTGAAAGCATCACAGGGGGGAAGGAGGGGGTAGCTGGTAGCAGTGATGAATGTATAACACCACTCAAGGGAATAAAAAACAAAATTGTAGGTGAATGGATACATTGGATGGTATAAGATATGGCAATAATAATAATATGTAATATTTAAGGGTCCACGGGGTGGTAGGATGGGGGAGGGAGGGAATAAAGGGGAGCTAATAGCAAAGAGTTCAAAAAGAAAGAAAATGTATTGAAAATCATGCTGATAGCAATTGTACAATTATGCCTGATCTAATGTAACTATGGATTGTAATATCTGTAAGAGCTCCTAATAAACTATTTTAAAAAATCAAAAATTAAAAAAAAATGGTTCTCCCTCCATTTTACTTTTAGTTAGATCCTTCCTGACTCTATGTATCACTGGCTCAATAAACACATGAATGCTATCCAAAGATGATAAGGTAGAACCCACCCAGAGATGTCTCAGAAGGCCAAGTGATCTGAGTCCAAAAAGTTACAGCCATTAAAACGTCATGGAACTCTCCACTCGTGGGGTCACCATGAGCCAGAATCAACCCCACAGCAACTAACCTAGGCAACCAAGTAGGAGCAGCACGATACGTTGCAACACTGAAAATGAAAATAAAAGAGCTGGGAATTTCTTGTGAGGAATTTGCTTGTGCCAATGCTTGAATCTATCCCTCTTTTTTCAGAAACGAATTCTGAAGCAAGCCCTTGTTGTTGTTCTGCAGTGGTGTTTCAATCACAATTTCAGTATTCGACTTTATGCTTTACTTGCTCTTAAGAAGATCTGGGGCATGTATAAAACATTTCACGTAGAAGAATTTGATGCTTTGAGTTCTGTGATTGAGTCCAGTCTTAACCAAGTGGAAAACATGCATGGAGCTGGGTAAGTGAAATTTATAACTTACTGCGTTACTGCAAGTGGGAGCCACCAGGAAGGCACTGAAGGTACACTGGCGTTTTAAGTCTATCATACATGAGCGCATAAGGCTGTCATAAATGATTTGCTCTCAGCTACTCGCTCAAAGTTGTTTATGGTTTGAAATTGTGCTCTCCAGCAGCACCTCAGAAGAAAGACCAAGCAATCGGCTTCTGTGAAGCTTACAGCCAAGAAAACCCTATGACTCAGTTTTACTCTCTGATGTATGGGGTAGGACAGCCCCTGGTGGCTTAGTGGGTTACTCATTGTGGTGCTAACCACAAGGTCTGCAGTTGGAAACCACCAGCTGTTCCTTGGGAGAAAGATGAGGCTTTCTGCCCCCATAAAGCATTACAGTCGTAGACATCCACAGGGATAATTCTGCCCTCTCCTGTAGGATCATTATGAGTCAGAATCAGCTCAATAGCAGTGAGGACATACGGGACTGCCATGAATTGGAATCATTGACAGCAAGTTTAGGGTTAGTTTTATGCACATAAGGGGTTGTATGACAAATTATAATCTTATTTGATGTTCAGTGTACTTACAGTTTTAATCATTGTCAGCTTTGTCTTGACCTTTCATTGCTTTTTCACCCTCAATCCTTTATTTCATAAATTGTCTTTAATATAACTTTAGATACTTCTCTTCAAATAGCCATATGCCATCATATTTTATTAAGGGAGTGCTGAGAATGAGCTTACTTTGTTAAACACTGTAAACTTGTAACAAGAGTGAACATTCTTACCCCTACCCAGTATCTCTTTTATTCCCAAAACAATATCTTACAAGAAGCTCAATATCAAATAGATAGGATGTTGCTGCTGTGGTTAGGTGAGGTATGGGTACACAACCTAGCACTTAGTAAACTCCAAGTGGTGCTAATGTGTACCTCTTTCTTCTGCACCCACTTCTCGTTGGGAATTACTGCAGAAAAGCAAGGTACTGTGCCCTAATCATCTCCTAATATCTGACCTTATTTCTTTTTCTGTAAGGTAATGGTATTGTCATTTTACTAGTTCCATTGATTATCATTTCAGGAATGATTAGAAATTTGAGAGACCTAGATTATATTAATAACAGGTTTTCCTTTAGAAACTCAAAGGTATTCACTTTTATGAAATAACTAATAGTGATTGGAAGTAGCATATTAGAAATGTGAAAACATTTGGGAAAACCAGTAGCTTATAGAGGATTTTACCATGACCTTCAAATTAGCACATAGCACAAATAAGACTTGTCTGAGCCTTAGCTTCACATAAGCACAGCGGTGAGGGTACCTTGGTAGCGACAAGCTTATAACTCTTCTGCCTGCCTTAACTTTTTTTTTTAATAGTTATTGCTATATGCTCACATATCATACAATTGAATCTTTCAACCATATTAAGATTTGCAGTCATCACCACAATCAAGTTCAGAACATTGTCTTCTCATACTCACTATTGTTATCTCCCTATTTCTCACAATTCCCTGTCATGCAGTTACTGTCTCTATAGATCTTCCTACCTTGGATTTCATATTTACAAAATACAAACAGGAAGCAAAAACAACAATAAAAAATGACTACACAGGAAAAAACCTCAATCAAAAAGAAAACAAATTAAGAAAACTGAAACAACTTTAAAATGGGTCAAAAGGAAGATGAAATGATAAGGTATTACATTTAACCTAACTACATCTGCCATTATCAATTTTACAGTGTTCTCTATCTGACAGCAAGACTATTAAATCTCTGGATTATGGTCAGAAGGGAATTCACCGGAGACTTAATCCATGTGGGGACCCTGCAAATGGAATTCTAATGTCAACCATAGCCTCTGCAAACTGGATGGTACAGTTTAAGCTCTAATACCATTCCCTCCATCTGATTTGGGCCTTATTTACAATCCTGGGATCACACAGGATGTTGTGCTTCTTCCATGGACTTAGATGGCACGAAACTTTTTTTTTAATTTTGTATTTAATAATAATTCACTTGGCATACAAATAGTTGTTCATGCAGACGTGAGTATCACATAATTATTAATATTATATTCTTTCATCTCATTTTTAATCTAGTAGTACACAATTTCTTTTACATTTTTTTAATCATTTTACTGGGGCTCATATAACTCATCACAATCCATACATACATCAATTGTGTAAAGCACACTTACACATTTGTT